GAAATCCATTTTTTCCAAAATATTTTTTTAAAGCCATCCGAATCTTGAAAATTTTAAAAAGCATATGCACACCGGACAAAGCTCAATCAACCTGGTACTGGCATATAAATTAATGATTCAATGTGTTTATAAAATTTAGGAAAATTCGACAAATCTGCAACTTTTAGACAAGATTTTTTTGTAGCTCACTCAATTTCAGTATCATAAAGTACAAGTTTTAAGTGGCTATAATCTACCGTTGATTTTTAAGAATTTTTCACGACGTTTTTCGGTATTTTTTCCCTTACAAAAAAAAAAAAACTATCATGCATCCGTTATTTGGAAAAACTGAGCAACATCATCAGCGAAAAAAATTCTCAAAAATCAAAACTTCAAGCTCAAAAAAATTCAAAAAAATTTTGTTAAAAGTTCGAAAATTTCGGTGAAAATTTGTAGAATTTTTCTAAATTTTGTAAAAACTTTGAGTCATTAATTGATATACAAAAAATATACGAAAAACATTGCAAATATTAAAAAAAATCACTGTTCGGAAACATATTATTTTTTTAGGTGGCAATTATTTAAAAAAATTTCTGAGAAAAGCTATTTCGGACAATTTTTACATATTTACATATCGTAATTTTAACAACATATTTTTTTTAAATTTTTGAAAGATGGCAACTCCATTAAATAACGCTTTCAAAGTAATTTGGAGTAAGTATGTACGAAAGATACCCCAATTTTAATATCTCACCCAACTTTTTTAATTAAATGAAACCTCTGGCAACCCTCCAAAAATATTTTCGTATTAAAGCTTTCTGAAACCTCTATCGCATAACATCCATATTTTAATATTTAATTTATTATTTATGTAAATTCAATTTAACTTTTTAAACATGTAGCAATCCCTCTCAAACAAATTTGCTAAATTTTATCCAAACCCGTCCAGCTGTGTTTTAAAAAATGTTGAAAATAAATACAATACAATAAATTTTGATATCATTGCTAAATAAAAATAAAGCTAAAGTCTTAATTCTCTCCTTGCCCCGCTGACTCAAATTTTAATTCAATAAGAAAAAAAATATATATCCCAGGATAGCGCTGGGAAAAAACTTTAGTTTCAGCAGCCACACAAATACTAGCAAGCAAGCGCTCTTGCCAGTGTGATAGTTAGTGGCGAGCATGGTGAAGTGTTATTTAAAAATAAATGTTTAATTTTAGTTCTTCATCAGCGTTGCGTCTTTCAGCGCTCGACCATTCACTCTGCCAGAGCGCTACACAATATTTTATATAGACGAGATGCTTTAATGTATCCATCCACTCTGAGGATCTATGTAAGTATGTATGTACATACAACCATGCAGACAAATTGGCGGCTTCCCCACTGAAACAAAAAAAACTTCTCAAGTTCTGTAAAGTATGTAGTATTACCAAATATCAAACAATATTGAACATCCTGTGGCGCAGTTTTGTCAGAATTCATAAGCGGTGGTCAAGAGAAGATTAACTACATACTCCCATACCCACTGCAAACTTTTTTCACCTACTTATATAACCTCTTGTCAAAATAGCGAAGTAGCAATCAAGGTCCCCAAGGTGTACCACCTCTAAATGCGTGCATCAGAGACTAACAGCCGTATTCTAGCAAAGTCACAAACCTTAGCTCATCACTGCTGTGATTTCTAAAGCGCCGCAAAGTTTACTGCTGCAACAAAGATGCCGTTACAACACAAATTTTCAAGTTTTTGTGTATTTTTCTAGCATTTAAAATTGAATTTTTGTGGCACTTTGTGCGACGCACTAAAAATCACAACAGTGATGAGCTAATTGTTGGGACCCTATTAGAATAGAAAGGATACATTTTCTATAATCTCTTCGACAGCGCATTCCAGCGATTCCAACCGCCAATAAATTCTTCGACACGAAGAAGCTGATGCTCCATAGCACTTGCTGTGTGATTGGCATCTCGAAGAATGTGCTTCCGATTTCTGCGAGGCCTATTTCTACGAAATCGTAAAGCCTATAATTTTTCTTTCGTGCCAACTAACGCCAATTGGAAATGTGAAGTGAAGCTAAGCCTTCTTCCATCACAGAGGAGGTCTTTCTCTTCCTTGGATGAGCTCTTCGTTCCTTTGCGGTGTTTGCCATCGCCAAACCGTAAAAGCACTCAAGTATTCCGAAGGATTTTTCTCTCGATTATTTCAAGGGTCGCCTTAGAGGATGTTATCATTTTGCCTATGATTCTGCGGCATATACAGTGGTGGAAGAAATAATATAAAGTTTTTATTTTGACCAGTTTTGGTTATATTTCTTTTGTTTATTCGATGTTTCATATTTTTTTTATAAAAGTCTATTTAATTTTTCCAAAATGCCCAACAAATTTCAAACTTTTTATTAAGAGTTTTTATAAAAATGTTAGGATTAGTTTAATTTTTAATAATTTTTTTCGCTGACGGTGTTGTGCATTTTCTTTTATGCTCAAAATTTTCGACCATGCTCAAAATTTCTTTTTATATGGAAGCAGCATGCCTAGCAGCGTCAGCAAAAAAAAAATATTAAAAATTAACACGATTTTCTAGCGTCTTGAGATTTGCATTTTAACCTACTAAAATTCAATGGGATATAAAACTGCATACCCAAAATTTTTAAAAAAAAAATCTAATTAAAAAATTTTAAATTTTTGGAGGTTTCGGTAATATTTTTATAATTGTTGTACAAACTTTGAAATGCGGATTTATATGGTGCATTTTATATGATGCGCTAGGTTTTTATAAAAAAAAAATCTGAACATCGAATAAACAAAAGTAATATAGCCAAAACTGGTAACGTATGTAGTTGGACACTGATTAATAAGTATCTAGTCATATTAGGACCACATTAAATCGTGGGTTTACATTTATGTTGATATGTACAACATTGCTTGGTATGAACAACATTATTGGGCATGTTTATATATGTAACAAAAAGAAATTTGCACACAAAATTGCTATTTGCTGCTTATTGCGTTTTTTTTTATTTATTTTGTATTTTGATTTTTCTACTTTTACTGTTTTGTTTATTTAGCTACAAGTTGCTTTTTTCTTATTTTACACTACAATCAAAGTTTTAATTTTAGAATGTTCGCAATTGTTGGCCAAATAAAGGGATTTCCTTAAAGTGTGTTTGCTTGGCGACTGAACAAATTGCTCAATTTAAAGTGTTTTATGTTCAGACAAATTTGCAAAAAATGTCTGTAAGAATGTTTTCGAAGCCACCGAGTGCCAAATTGTGCATTTTTGTCGAACAAAGTGAATGAAGACGCAAAGTTTAGCTCATCATCAGTTTTGAGTCCTTTATGTTTCCTCGCGAAAGTCACCGAAGGCACTACTCACTTAAAGTTAATTTAATGATTAATACATTCATGGGAATCAGGGTTTATTTTTAATATTTTTATTGAGCTTTGTACCACGACTTATTAGGAAAAATTGAAAAAGCAACAAAGTCTAAGCATTTTTAAATTTTTCCTAGTAAAAAATCGTTACAAAGCTCAATAAAAATATTGACAATAAAATGTTAATAAGCCACAATAACATTGACAAATACATAGTTAGGTTTTTTTATGTTCTAATCATAAGGAAACGTGTGATGAAAATTCAAAATTCAAAATTTGTAATTCGAATTTTTGTACCAAAATTTCTAAACTATTCACCTTAGGCCTAGTCGATTCTTACATGAATTTTTACTTTTTCGATTATCGCATAACCGTTATTTTCGGATTAAATTTTTTAGACCATAAAATATTTAATTCGGCTATAAAACCTCGATTTCCATTATAACGGGGAAAAATGATCCATAATAACGACTAAATTTTACAGAAAAAATAAAAATCCAAATTTAACGATTAAACATTGCAACACTCAAAAGGTGATGGGAATGAGACCAATTGCATTCATTAGAAGAGGTACCAGAGAAGTTAGTTCCCATTTCATTTTAACATCGATTTATAGTCGTGAATTTAGGATTAAAAAAATAAACATGTATGTGTGCACAATGATTTTTTTTTTGGTTTTGCTCACAAATTTCATACCTACACTCCCCATACAAAAAAAAAATTGCGACTGTTTTGACCCTGACTGGACCGATTTGAAAATACATACATCCAAAAATGGAGTTTTTATAAATAAAAATAGTTTCTTAGAAAATTTTTCGAAAAAATCCCTCAAATGACAAAACGGTTTAAGCTTAAAAAATTTACATAGAAATAAAAAAAGAAAATTGAGCGGAAACGTATTAATGAGATTTTTGAAGCTGTTTTTAACTTTTTTCAAAGATTGGTATAAGAAAAACTTGAATAACTGAACCTTAACTCTACCGATTTAGACTTGTGAGGTATCACTGGAAAGGTATTTTCTCAACCTTTTATTTCTAATAAGCTTATTTAAATGATGAAAGAGAAACGTAAGATGAACGAACATCATTCAAAGTTGAATTAAGATGTGTTGGTATTTAAAAAAAAAAAATTGGGACACGATTTTGTATTTTTTTTTTGCACATAAATAAAAATAGTGGGAAAATGCCTTTCTACCGAGATCCCATAAGTCTAAATCAGAATAGTTTTTGTCCGGTTATTAAAGCTTTTCTGTCGTTAATCTGTTTTGTCATCTGAGAGGACCTTTTTCAAAAAGTTCTTTAAGAAACTATTTTTATTCATAAAAAAACTCCATTTTTGGAGGTAATTTCGCATTGGTCCAGCTCACGTAAATCTTAATATTTTTCCGAATTATTTTGGTGGACGTCTTCAAATATAATAAATTTTGTAATCCCGACGGAAAAGTCGCAACTTTTTTTGGTGATGCAGTCTTATATACATACATATATATATATACATATACTATATATATGCATATACTATATATATGCATATATATATGATATAAGAATAACCACCTCCCATCACATCAAAGTATTCCGATTTTGCAATGATTTAAAAACAAAAATCTTGATATGTACATACATATGTAAAGTAAATGTTTATATTTAAGTATGTATGTATGTGCACAAATTTTCGGGACTTTTACATGTGTATGGATGTACATATGTATGTACATCAGTCAAACTTAATAGTGACCACCGCCGTAACCGCCAAGTGATCCTCCATGGCCACCGCCAAGGGAACCGCCATGTCCTAGGCCACCGCCAAGTGATCCTCCGTGGCCACCGCC